ATATGGACATGCTGGTCGCCTGGGGGAAACACCTTACTGCCTTCACACTCCTGTCGCAGAGGACAGTACGACTTTACCCCCAGACCGCCTCGTGGCACGATTACTCGTATTACGGGGTCTCGCTGCTCCCCTTTGACCTTCCTGGCATTGTTGCACCTTGTGGAACGAAGTTCCAGCCCGCGGGATCATTGCAGCACTGAAGCCCGACCACCAAGTCAAGGTTGCGGCTTTAGGTCGGGATCATTCCTTGCTATGTTTCTAATTAGTATTTAAGATCTCGGGGCCAAAGCTTTGGATGAATAAAGCCTAGCTTCTCAGACCTCAGTCTTTTCTTACTCTAATTGTCATTAAAATCCAGTCCTTGTCAAGCATAACATACGGCTGGCTAAGTCCAGATGTCATGGTGGATATCAGAGATATGAATCCGCAAGTGGACATGCTTAGGGACTCTGAGATCTAATTAGGTCGACTTGGATTGAACTCGGAAATGGCGAACTTCAGCTGTGTACTGGCCATAGACTGTTTCTTATGCATAACTAACTTCCGAAATAAACGAAGAGATCCGGCTACATTATGTCTATCAACTGTGTGCCAGCCACGGATCCAAACTGATTACATCGCCATCAGCCATCAATGCCGGTGATCAACGTCTGACGGCCGCTCAGTTTGGAACACATGGATTCTGACCATGCGCTCATCCGGAGTCATTTTTTCCTTGTTTTTCAGGGCTACATGTGGTGCGGAAATGTGGTTTAGTAAATGATAGACTGACAGATCCCAAAGTTTGACGAATTAACAAGAATCGCCTTCTGGAGTCTCTTTAAACTGCCCCACCGTTGGATGTGAATTCGTGCTGGAACGAGATCGTCGCTCTTTGCATGGCGCCCGGATTTTTATCCGTGCCAGGGCTGCTGCGTCTTGAAAAGTGTTGCAACTCCTATACTAGTCCTTGGCTCGCCGCCGCACCATGGCATACCAAAAAGAACGGAAGCCTAAGATAGCCTTATGCAGAAAACCATTACAAATGTATTTATAGGGTTAACGCTGAGTGTTTCACAAGGTCAGGCTAGGATATTCGTGAGCAGATAAGCACCAAGATATAAACACTCAATGCCGTCACTGAGCAACCGTAGCTTGCCTTCATTTGGCCCTTAGACTAAACGCGACAGTTCCACCGGCGCTCTCACGTCCACTCGAGCACTGGATATCAGAATGAACAGTCGCACCTCTTCAATCCCATATAAGTGTCCCCGCCAGCTCCGAACATAATTTGGCTTGAAAATTATCAGACATTAAGTTAAAGTAAATGTGCGCACCGACCGCGAGGTCTAGTGGACACGGAAGATCAAGGAGGTGGAAGAGACACCGAAGGTAGGGCAGATTATTTCAGTTGATCAGTGCGACCGGTCCCTGGTAACCGCCAGTGGATAGAAGCATCAGGGATTGAAGTGGCGACCACGCACAATAGAGAATGATGCCTGACCAGTTGGGCTGGTAAGTTTGAAGGTCACCTTCAAACCACCTACTGCCATTCATTGGGTCCCGCCATTGAAGTAGGAACCTGGACGGTGGACTTGGAAACTCCTATAGTTTGAGGTGCATGATTGCATATGTCCTACCAAGTGCTACCAAGCTATTGGCTCGGAGACCGACAAGAACAAAACCGACCCGGGAGACTTGGGCAATAGCCTCGATCCTGTGTATCAATCCGTGAATCCGTGACTTCCTACTAGGACAGCGGTGAAGTCCTCAGTCAATGCACATCCGGCCCATTTATCTCCAGCTTGGAAAAAGAGTCTACCCCATACAAATGGCGAGAATCATTGATGGAGAAATTCTATAAAAAAAAGGCCTGTAATCACAGGGCGTCAGTAAGATTCTAGTTGGTTTCAAGTTCCCTTCATCGCCTGATGGTGGCATGTAAAACACTGAGTCGAGAAAGATTCCGGACTGAAGTGGTTTACGCCGACCAAATCTTTACACTCCGTGGGTGCCGAAACAACGTCACATGTATGAACGATTAACAATTTTAGTATCTCTGGATTTCTAAGGCGAGGACTCGGTAGACTGGTCTGTTCTCAATAACACGCTGGACAAAAAAGAAATAGCCCAGGGGGTTATGAACAAAGCAAGTCGTTCGTATTTCCAGAACTGCAGACGTTTGGGAAAATATTAGGCGGACCCCTGCACAGCAACAGCCCTACCGCTCGTAGGTAGGCGCTGATATTGCCAACAGGCCTATCCCGTGCGGGACTGGCCAGAACACCGAGCCACTTGACGGTCTAGCATCATGTCGACGGCCGAAAATGTGGACCCAACAGCCATTCAGGACCAGCGTGTGCCGAATGCCGGTTGGCAATGTGGCTTTCCAAATGCGTCCAAAGCGGCATACCTCTAATTCTCATTTGAACTTTTGTAATCTATTTTCCGGCGCACGACAAGCGTCAGAACCGTAGCCCGTGTAGTCTGGCAAAACAGCAATTAAGCTTGTAGAATTCAGCTGTTCTGTCGTGTATCGAGGACGTGAACCGAAGTACTTGTTCAATGTTAATTTTGGGCCGTGTATTGTGCATGACTAATCAACGGTTGAGAAAGAGGTTGCTGCTCTATGTGTCAACTTCAAAGTGATGCAATCATAAAGAAGGTTAACCTTCGACCTAGCAGAGGGATATGAAAGAGATTAGAGAGACTTCTTGGTGCTCTCGGATAGTCTCACCTTCCAGGATGGGACCCATGTGATCTTCAGTGTAACTGTTTGGAGATCCCGCCGATAAGGGTGCTAGACATGTTCAATCTAGATTACCTGAATGAGAGTCTGGAGGCGTACGAATATCGGAGTGATTGTGGTAAGCTGGTACCAAGTCGGTTCTACAGTCCATATTTATTCGTCCGTAATGCGTTTTTCTAATAAAACACGGCTGTTCGGATTTGCAGCATCAGTCTTGGACACTGACGTTATCCTATCTATGATCATGATTTTTTAATGAAACACGGCTGTGCGGAATTGCAGCATCAGTCTTGGACACTGACGTCATCCTATCTATAATCATGCTAAGAATTGGGTGAACTTCCCAAAGAAAATTCATATTAAACACCCGGAAATATGGCCTTATTCGTCTTCAGAGTCGAGTCCATTTGAAAAAGCACGAAAATGTGTAGCCCGTTTTTGTAGATCGAGACTCCAACTAGGGGACGCAATAAATGTCAAATTCTATTAGCGGACGATTCTCCATAACTGAAGAAATGCAAGGACCGGGTGTGTAGGTTTCCTCACACGGTTGCGCAACATCTGCACCAACTTTGCTCCCTCTTACGGACCTGTTCCTAACCTTGTTTCATTTCGCGGAGGCTATGTCATCGGGTGAAGAAATGCAAAGATCGGTTGCATGCCTATCTGCGGCGGAAATTTCTTCACGGATACCAGCAGGGATGGCGTACAAACCCACAGCAAAATGAATGTGAATTTTCAAAACTGAGGTTACAAATCTACTACTTCATATTAAACAATGGCTTGGCCTAATGCATTGTTCTGCTAATTATCAGCTTAGATCGTTTGTTTAAGTGACCGTCTCTTTGTCAATAATCGCCACCGACCGTTAGGAAGATGCCGAATTCAATAAGAAATCGCGGATTGCGGTGAAACGTGTGGAGGAGAGTGGCAGGTGATTATGTAGCTAAAATAACTCATTGAGCTTTTTCCATGAATCTAAATCGTGCTGGCGGGTGCAAGATAAGTTGGAGTGACACTCGTGGAAACATTTTTATCTATTTATGTCCGCTTCACTGGATAAATATCAAATTATTCGTTCTGGGAACACCATAGCTCCCACTTCGTGTTACCATCGCTGGGGAGGCATTTATTATTTTCGGATAACCTGTGGGACTTGTAGAACCTACAAACCGGAGTTCATGGTGAACTGTGCACGTAGTTGAAGTTCGTGGCAAATTGCAGCAGAGTTCATCTCTGTAGCCGGAAAGACATGGCAGGACGAACCTGTCGTTTATCACAACGAACACAGCTCCGGTGCCTTAGGGGTACACCCGTTTTTTCAGGCGACTGTTTTGTTCTTCAGACGGTTACCAGTCAAAATCAAAATGGACTTTCGTGGATTGTGCGTGCACAGCACATTTTCGGGTGGTGTACAACCGGCGGACTGTAAGGTAAGAGCCAAAGTGTGAGTCGGTACAGAGCAGCATTTCCCGATCTTGTCAGGATCTATGTGCCAGCATTATGAGAAACAGAAACCATGCTCTACCTCATTTCCCATACGGCGGAACGAGTACCAAGTGTTCCCAAGATGTCTATAAGCAGAAATATATGGATGTTATATGACACGTGATGGTGAACTGTGATAATGTGTAGTAGTCTGCAATCGGTCAGTTTGCGTTTTCTTATGAATAACTGCAACGCAGGCCTTCTTTTCATTTGATGCCGTGGCCAGGATAAATATGAAGATCCCGTGGCCGCAACCCTTTAGGAATGGGGATGTTCGGGCCTTCCTGGTGGACTTTGAGGAGGTTGCGGAGGCTGCCGGACTGGAGACTGACCGGGGCAAGTTGGTGGCGCTGAAGACTCTCCTCGGGGGCCGGGCGAAGGCGACCGTGGACGCGGCCAGAAGAGGCCCTCGGAAGATGGGCTGGGCCACTGCGAAAAAAGTCCTTGCAGCGGAGTTCGACACGCCAGCCGACCTCCAGGAGGCTATGAGGCGGTTCAAGACGGCGAAGATGGCGTCTAGATCCAACCCGACCGTGTTCCTCGCCGGCTTTTGGAAGTTGTTGGATCGCGCTTTGCCGGGACTGGACGGAGTACCGCGTCACCAATTGCTTTCCGACCAGTTCAACGAAGGTGTGCAGCCGGCGCCTGGTGCCCCAATGCGGATGGCGCGAGCAACTGGCCAGTTGGGTGTGGAGGAGCTGACGCATCTCGCGTGGGAATCGAACGGGCCACCACTGGTCATGTTGCGGTCGAAGGAGAACAGAAATTGTTCACAAGTGGAGGAAATGCAGTCCACAGTGGACCAACTCGCCGAACAGC